CGGTAGCGTGTCGCCTACGAAATTGATACCCGTCCCAGGATCGCGCTGACGTAAGTGCAACATTCGGTGAAACGCGCGATTAGGCCCCCCTCTCGCGGCGCGTCCGAAACGGGCCGCGCGTCGCCGTAAACGATAGAACGGCACGTCATTCGCCCACCAGATCGTAACGGCGGATAAAACACTCCCCTCGCCCGAGGGGGGGGGGGAGGGGGACTACCGTAATTTTCACTTATCTTCAACGCAAACCGCTTCAAAGTATCGAGGATAGCGCTGAGATTTCCTCCGGGCCGCCGCGCGGTTACGCCACACTGCTCATCCGAGTAAACGCTGCTCGAGATTTACCTGTACCACGTTGAAACGAGAGGAAGGGCATTTTGCTGTGGTTACTCGTTTCCTTTGAAATGTCTGTAAGATACATGGAACACTTGAGAAATATTACTTTCAAAATGCGTAACAAGATGTTTCATGATGTTTCTTCGAGGAATCTTATCGAATCGAAATGAACAAGCGATTAGAGTCGTTGCTGCGGGAATTGTCAATTCTAATAACTTGAGCGTTCTATTAGAGGTCATGTTTTCGCTGTACGAGAGTCTCTATAAGGATTTCAGGAAAGCATAAATAATTTGTTATTTAGTTATTTGCGGTGCAACGTTCTAATGGCAGCAATTACCTGCACGACGTCGTCATCGTCGTCGTCGCCGTCGTCATCGTCATCGTCATCATCGTTGTTATTGTCCACGGGGAGGTCGCGCACGTGTATCCGTATATTACGCCACGTGTATATATGCGCCACGTAATATATGCGCAACATGCCTATATATTACATGTATTAAACGCATAGATATACACGCAGTTGGTCGATTTTCTTTCAGGCCGCTCGTTAATGAAGCGGTGTTCGGTTCTCGGGCTATCCTCACTTCGTTATTATACAAGATGTAGCCTCTAGGGTCTTTCGGGAAATTTCGAGCCCCCGCCACCCAACGCAATGCGAATAATGTCACTTCCCGTGTAACCATGGAAAATCGCAAAACGATCCTGTCGCGGCGCGCGGCTCGCGTGAAATTCTGATAAATTACCGCGCATGACTTCTCAATGTGCTTGACCTTAAACATGCGAATTTTTGCATTACTAAATAGGATTTTACATAATTTACTATAATGATTTATAACAATAATAATATAATGCTAATGTAATAATAATTTATTTGGAAATAATTAATGTAAAGAATGATATCTTTATTTTTTATAAAAAAAAGCGCAGTGTTAAAGCTCAGCAATGATATCCTCGACAAATACAGTATTTCTGGATTGGTTGGAGTTTGCGATTTGGGCATTTCGTGATTTTAATGGTGGCAAAAAATGTACGTACGTATATACATAATGATGTTTATTTTACTTTAGCAGTACAAAAGGAAATATAGGAAACCATTCTATGTGGCGACCACAAAAAGTTTTATCGTATACCTTCGTTTATATTACGGAATTGAATTAGAAATTAGAAACATGTTTATAGCAGGTTTCACAAATTTATCCGCGAAATTTGTATCACATATTATTACAAATCATAACGTTATAATAATTATTCGATCTGTATTCTGTTTTTTTCAGCATTATTATAACGAAGTTGTAGATAGGTTAAATTATATAGTATAATTTTATCTTCTGATATTGTGTAAAATATTTTTTATAATAACTAATTTTATAAAAACTAATTGTTTATAGATAAAACGCATCTAAAGAATCCTTATTTCTTGCGAGATCCGCGCGTTTCTTCCTCGATTTGCGAGGAATTCCTGATAACTAGAGAGAGAGAGAGAGAGAGAGAGAGAGAGAGAGAGAGAGAGAGAGAGAGAGAGAGAGAGAGAGAGACGTACGTACGTACGTACGTACGTACGTACGTACGTACGTACGTACGT